CTTTAAACACCATGTGATAAAATGGGGCTTTTTAGTCCTGAGTATAGTGTGAAGATTCTGATATTTGTAACAAGCCTTTGAAATGTTTCAGAATTACAGGACTTTCAAAAGACTAAACAAAAAAGTGACTTTGGAAATTTCAACATGTAAAAACCAGAGAGAGGCGATCTTAAATTTTAATAGAGATTACGTTTAGGGACAAAGAAACACACAACATAAGCTGCAACCAAATATAAAAGTAGTATGAAGTGATTTAGGAAACAGCTATGAATTGCACAGAACCCAAGTGGAAAGGTGAAGATAAACTGAAACTCAAAGAATGTGGCTGATAACCACAAATCTCATTCTCTTTAAAAGGTATGGTGGACTAATCCATAAGAGACAAGGACTGAATTTCACCTAGTTACTGGCTTTAGAGTGTGCTTCTCCTGGGCCTCTTTCATCTCCCTTCCCACCACCCCAGTATTGGGTAAGGACCAGCTTGTTTCACAATCTCTTGTTAACAAAGCATCTTTAAGAGAAAACCACACTCCTAACAAATTCTCACAGGCCGCTTCCGTGGTGTAGACCTTCCCTGTAATCAGGACACAGAGAAGCTGCTGCAATGAAAAGAAGCCACGACTGTGTGGAACCAAAAGGACTTAAAAAATGCAAAACATAAGATGATGTGCAAATACCAATCAACATGTCCGCTAAAATACACGAAATAAGAGAACACCTGGTTTCCCTGTTAGCATCTGTTCTTACTGACATGGCGAACATTTCTCTCAGAAAATCCAGGAAACACCTCACGTTTTTAGTCATCAAAGAGGATGCGCTATCTCTGTTGCTCTGGTTCAGCTGCTTTCTAAAGTGTCACCTCCTTCAGGCGAGCAGACTGTGGACTGGGCTAAACTTAAACTTAGTAAGGCACACACTCAAGTAGAAAACGTAAAGCCAAATACTCGGGGGAAAAAAACCACCAAAAACAAAAACCCAACCTGACACAAGCAAAACAAACATTAGCAGATTAGCAGTTTATTAGCCAAAAATTCTCAAGTAAATATTTCACTCTGGATAGCCAACAGATCAGCAGCCTTTCCAAGGACCTGCTCACACGTATCTCTGCTCTCACCTCAGCACTACACCATTCTCTACACACTTCACCAGGTGAACTACGTCACTGATGACAATCAGGATAAACTGTAACTACGAAATATAACTTGCCCACTCAGGTTTAACAGTCATTTATTGAATACGTTGCTCACAAAATACCATATGAGAATGTGGCTTTCCAGTAACTCAATCAGTTAATGAGAATAAGAACTAATGGAAAAGCGTACACTCTTCTGATTGTTCATTTTGACATTTAAATATCTATCATAGCAAAACTGGGGATATCTCTTTTTATACTTTATCATTTAGTGTTTGAAAAGTTAACTGAGAAGCAACTAATTTCCTATCAACTATCTAGAGGTAGTGACTGAAACGAAACACTTAAGAAATCAACAGCGTGTGGTAACTGAAGGAATGGCTGGTTTCAAACTTCAGATCAATATTAAAATTGGGAAGGTACATCACAAACAATAAAAACATCAGCCAAACTTATCAATAATACCCTGTGATGGTGATTCCTAGGGATTTCTACAGAGCAACCTAAGAAATTACATCCTAGTCACTGGAGAGGTCTTTGCAATGAATACATGTCCAGCAATACAGTCCTGTAGCTCAGAGCCGTCACACTCTCTTGGGACTCAACTACAGCTCAGAGTCCCCAAACACTAGTCCATAGGTTAAGGGAGATACAGTGTACACATACCATAATGTGGGGAAAGGAATGAAAAGAAAACACACGGAGATATGAGACTCCAGCGGAAAAAAAAGACTATTAAAATGCTCTCCCTACCACACGCTGCTCTGTGAAGACTTTATCCAGGAATATGTAGAGCCAAAGCAGACCACCTGAATATTAATGAGAGGCTCAAAATCCAAGGCTCAAAACGGAACAAAATATATGGTCAACTGTTAAAGACTGGAAGGCAACTCCATGTAAAACCAGTAGATCCCACAGGTCAAAGCTAGATTTGCAAACCGTGTGCAGCATCTCCAAACAAATCAGACACTAAAAACTGGGCACCTTCAAGGACACCTGAACAATTGAAGAAAAAAATGCATTTACCTTTATCACCAAAGCATAACTGCTCAGACTTCGCGCTGACGGACACCTCTTGGACACTTCAGCGCCTCTAAAAACCAGTACTGAAAAGCTTATTATGACTTTTTAAGGAGTTTCCACACCAGCCAGGTACACAGACGTGACCGCCAGAGAAATGTCAGCACAGTAAGGCAGAATTTGTAAGGTCCCTTGCTACAAGTGCTAGCACAGGAAGGTTATGACCCATGGACACGGATGGACTGTAATATCTAAATGGCACGTTTCCGACATACTCACAACATCTTTAGAGAAAGTACTTAAACTCAAAAAATAAAAAAAGACAGGAGTCAAATACAGAGATGAAATGTACAAAACAAATGAGCAGGCAAACTAAAAGTTCTTGAAAGTATTTTACTTCAGGTTGAAAAATGAACAGCTTCCACACTGTTCATTGCAAGATACACAGTATTCACGAATACAATGCTGGTCATTTGAGGAAATGTACACACCTCAATTTCTCCTTCATGCTTTTCTTTTAGAAAGATACTGTTTACCAAAAAGAAACGTCAGCAGTACAGGAAAAACTATTTTCCCAATAAATTTACGAAAACCTAAGATTCCCAATGGAATCAAGATTATCTTCCCGCTACCACCACCTTAATATAATCACATGCTTATTGAAACACTAATATCTGCACCCTAAGAGTACATTTACTTTCAACAATGAAGGTGATTCTTGAAAAACAAAACAAAACAAAACAAAACTTCAGTGTGGTAAATGTAACATGGATCTCTGCAAGTATTAAGTGTCTGAAATAGGCAGCTAATACTGGATTTAATATTATTTTATAAATAATTGTTCCCTTAGCAGTAAACATAAGTCTACACATTCACAATAATCCTAGAAAATAAATACTGTGATTATGCACAATATGTTATGACAAACTAGTTTCAAAAAAACAAAAGCTCAACATCTTGATAAAAATTCTGATCAGAATAAAATGTGACTCTAAAATTTCAAACATTGTCAAAATAACATCACATTTAAAATCTTCCACGCTTTACACAAGTATAATGAATTTCCAGTTTTGGAACACATTTTTCCGTTGTGAATTAAAATACGAACATACTGAAAACTGTTAATTTCAGTGATGACATCAGTTTTGGTCTTATTTTAGCATTATTTTCTTTATAAAAAGTTGCACTAAGTGTCCATTAACGGTCTGATTGGTCTTCAGTATTTCATAAATGTATATAAAAGAAATTCCTAAAAGCCAATAATAGTACTTTATATGTATATAAAAGAATCTCATCTCAGAAATGGCTGTAATTAACAGAGCCACAGACACTGATGCTAAACATAAGAGCGTTCGCCTTGAAAGAAAGCATTTTCAGAAATGCCACTTACATTCTATTAAATATTTCCAACTGAGTTTCAAACTCAACGCGTGATGAATAACAGAATGATACATCTCATTTGCACTCAAAACTGACCACAACCAAAATTTACAGTATGATTGAAACAAGCCAATGTTTAAAAAAGTTTTAATTAAAGATAACAATTCCATGAAAGGAGAGGATAAAGAATGGGATGACAAGAAGTATTTGGTCTTAATAAGGCAATACAAAATAGATCCATTATCAAAGACCATTTAATTTTTAAAGATCAACAATACCAAAAGCATAAAGTGGAGTATAAGAAAATAGTTTTTTATAAGTATGATTTAATTAAAGCTGTTTACAGTTATTCTCTCCCACAGTAGTTAAGCATGAATTTAAAAAAGAATAAGAGATGAGAAAAACAAGCACGCGCAGCACACAGGGTTAGAGGAGCCAGCATGCAAAGTCTGTGGAACTCGAGGTTTCACTGCAACAGGAATGGGACCAGATGCGGGTGGCCTTTTTTTTTTTTTCCTATTAGGAAGAAAAAGAAGAAAAAAAAAAAAAGACTGCAAAGGAAACAAACACAAAGTCATGTAACTGCCCATTGCCCAAGACGACAGCACTATAGAAAACAGTTGCAAGTTAATTCTTAGAGATGACTAGAGATTTTTCAGTGTTTACACAAAAGTACATAGTACATATTTTTTTCTTTTTTTTTTACAAAATAAACGTCATTTGCCACCATAACCTTTTCTTTAGAGAGGAAAATTTTTGCAGCAGGTCACGAGGGTTCTATTAAGTCATTTCAATGCTGAGGAAACGGATTTGAGTAATAGAACTAATCACTTCCCTATAGATGGATGTTAAGATGACAATTCAGATTATTTTTCAAACTAATCCTGAGAAAAATCTGTTTACAATTTAAACAGTAATGTTATGTAAAAAGTATTAACAAATCCACTATTACAAATATCAATTTCCTATATGGTCATCTATATATACACACAATAAAATGGTAAATATATGCAAAAATATTAAAAAAAAACATGCACAGATCACTTTCCCCTTTGAAATTTGGACTTCCTATATGATACCTGTGTTTTCCTTCCCCACCCCATCCTCTGAAATTTTCTTGTTTCTATCACCCTACCCATACTGAATACTATTCTCTATAACTCTGCATAAAGCCAATGAGAAATAGATTTTATTTTACATTCAAGCTTTAAATCTTAAAATGACCCTGTTATAGCATATGACTTATCAAATGAGCAGCCTTTTTTTTTTTTCCCCCTTTTTTGCTTGCTTTTTGTTTTTGCAGTTGTCAGTCTTCATGATCCATTCCGTGGCGAGCTGGGAAAAAACGCAGTTGCTAAATCAACGTCTGAACAGGGTAAGGCTCCCGAATGTCTCCCAGGAGTCCCTATCCAACTGTCCTGCGCGTGAGATCACTGCACACAGAAGACAGTCCGTCGCGCGACGCCGACTATCTGCAAAGGTCTGAGAGGGGGGCGTCCCTCTTGTGTTTCCGCTTTTTGCCATGGTAATACTGATTGTTTGATTTCCCTTGATGCTGTTTGTTTGTCATCAAGGAGCCATGGCTTGTTTGGGTTGTACCTTGGAAGCCTTTGCTGGAAGAACGAAAGAGCCTTGCTGATCCATGCTGCGGAGAAGGAAAGCGGTCAGAAAGACATCAGTATTGCGATTCAACACAACGCTTGTAAGACCTCCCTTGGGAGCTTTCATAACTAGGAGCACACTGACTTATCTAACAGGCAGAAAACCATGCTAAGGGGTTAACTCTCTGGGGCTCAAACACTTTTACATCTTTTTTTAATGGAGATATCGAAAAATATACGACCACTTCTTAACAGAGTACATAGATTTTAAGTTTTTCTTCAGGAACCTATCAGTCAATACATCACATGATAGATGGCATCACTGGAAGAAACAGTCAGACATGCAGACGTGCTGCCAGGTCAAGGGTCACCACAGCTCACCACTCTTTTCCGGCTATCACGTGTCACTTCAATGGCCATTTCTACATGAGCCAGTGTTTGGGGCACATGACTGAAGCTGTACAGACAAAGTGGATTCTGGGAGTTACGTCAGACACGCGGTGACTGACTTAACGGGCATCTATACTGTCAAGCGGCCTTCCCTAGGGTCCCTGATGTACTGGAGAGGGCGTGATGGCCCCACGCCAGAGTCCAGTCAGAAATGGCCTCTCCCCTCATTTTGATTCATTACTCAAGATGGACAAAATTTTAGGCACCTAGAAAGTTTACAACAGAGTGTCTCTGTGGCCTTTTTAAGTGAAAGCTAAAGCTAATCAGCTGACCATGGCTGACTGCATCGGATCATTTCAACATAATCAACGAGGTATTGGATTTTAAAATAAAAAAGGACATGTTCTTCCCAGACTGTGCAACATTGCAGGGAGGTCATTCCAAAATTTCATATGAGTTTACTTCAAGTACAACTGAAACTTTTTATAACTTGAAGCAAATTTTTTATGCTGTATATCTGTAGTAAGGCAGCTGGCTAGACCAGACATCTTCTAAAGAAGGACGTCGTTGGATTCCCACAGAGGTTTATGTTACATGGGATCCTCAGGACACCCTGTTACTATAAGCACTGTCATGCTCTGGAACCTCTTAGAATAAAACACATTTCTTCTTTAACCTAGGACTTTCTTCAAAGCCATAATGTGTGTGTATACACGTGTGCATGTATATGCATGTACAAAACTCTAAATATTCCACACTCAACACTGACAATTAAAAACACAAACTGCACACACCTGGGACTTGTTGGTGCTGTTGGGTGTGTTAGTGGTCTGGGTGCTCTGCATCTTCCCGCCTGTCTGAGAGGACTCCAAGGACGCATCCTGCGACCCTACCCGGTTCCCAGTGGACGGACGGCAGAGCAGCTGTTTCGGCGTTTTGCATGGTGTCGCGTCGGAATCCTAACACAAGTCACATAAGTTATAACGTGACACAGTAATGATTTAGACATTCAACATTAAGAAAGGAAAACAACTTCAGCTAAGCACTCTCTGGACTAAGTCTGAACATTTGTGAGTCAAAGGAAGCACACTGAGGAATTTGTAAAATTAACTGCTTAAGTTCTTCTCCTCCAAACGTTTCAAGTGGCTTATTTTATCACAGGGTTTCTGTTCATTGTTAAATCCACTGACCACGCCTGACCCTGTTAATCGGCCTTGAGGTAGCTCCCAGAGGTCCAAGTTTATCTGCATTCTTATTTACAGAAAAGGAACCATGGAATAGTGGAGTGAGCATGGTGAAGACTGAGAGCCTATCTCCAGTGCCTGACTCAACGTCTTCAACCAAATACAAAACAATCACTTTACAAGATTCACTCTCTGAGAGTGGTGACAACCCAGTGCTCCCTCCTAGAAAACACAGCGAGTGGCTCGGACTTCCCAGAGACACTGGGCTGAGTCCTACCTCTTGTGGGCTGCTCGGGCCACGACTGCTCCTCTCTGCTCAGCTCTACCCGTGGCCCTCGCACTCTGCCCAGCATCTCAGAGACACACACTCTCAGTCCCTAAAGCTCCCTCTCACGGCGGCTCTGCTTCCGCCCGTGTCTGGGACATCCAGCTCAGCACTGTCCTCCACAGCTCTGCTCCAGGAACCAGACCAGCACACGGGCAGATTCCACACGTGAGGATTTATGACTCCATGCTGATAGATGGTCGTCAACAACAAAAAACTGTCTTTTTCACACTGAGATTATTTTTTGTCATATATACTTATAAGAGTCAATAAAGGCCATTTTAGATTTCAGTTTAAACAAACTCAAAAGTAACTCTGATGAGGATAAGTAATGTAGGTATAACTGATACTAGAAAATTCTATGAGGATAAGAGAGAAAGTAGATTAGGGATTTCCAGGGCATGGGGAGAAAGAAGATATTAGGGGCTACTAAAAGGTTTCTTTTGGGGTAATGGAAATGTCCTGGAATTAGTGATGAGGGCTATACAATATTATAAATATGCGGGAAAAAAACCCCCACTTAAATTGTACATTTATAAATGGTGATCAAGGGAGCATATATATATCCCACTTTTATAAAATTTTGAAACAGACAAAACTAATTGATGGTATTAGAAAAATCCTAACAGTGGTTACCTCTGAGGGTAAGATCGGGGATTGACTAGAAAACATCTGGGGAGATGTTAATAGTCAACATCTTGTTAGGATTTGGGGTTACATATGTGTATGCATTTGTTAAATGTATAATTAAGATTTCCTTATATGTTAATTTTATATCAAAAGAAAAAAGTGGACAAACATTGAACTATGGGTAATGACAAGCACAGGACAGTACTTTGTAGGAAATATCCTAACATCTGTGATACTTTGAAATGTGTTAAAGAATAAGATGAATTAGTAAATGAATGCATAGCTCTGTGTAAGCCAGTAAAATGGTAATGACAGAGTCCAGTGGTAGTGTATACGGATATTCACTAAAATTCTTTCTTGAAAATTTTAACACAATGTTGAGAAAAAGTACAATCATTAAAGTTACTAAAATTTCCAAGGAGCAAATAAGAAAATGAGTTAGCCATGGCTCTCTAGATAGAATTATCCCAGCAACAGAACCCCTACGGGGCTAGGTGTAGAAAACCAGGTCTTCATACTTACAACATCACTAGAGCTGGACTGTGTGGCTGAAGAGGAAGACACTGGACCTGATGAAGAGTTTGAAGAGTGTTTACTAATAGATTCCGAAGTTTTACTTCTACATTTTCCAAGGGCTTCATTTTCTTCAGATAGATTATTATTACATTTATCTAACTGCTGAGTATCTACTATCAAGGTAACACCATTTCCTGAAAGAGTGGCAAAAGATTGGAAAACGTTTCTTCCCATTAAGCACACACAACACAGAAAAGCCTCTAATACTCAGTCAATCGATCAATGAAAAACTCTTACCATTGCACGAAGGCTCGGGCCTATTCTGCAAGCCCCACTGCTTTGATATCCAATCTCTATATGTGGCAACTTCATCTGTTACTCTAATTATTCTACCTAATATGCTGTAAGTGTTAAAAAAAAAAAAAAAAGAATGAAAAAGGTACATTAATTTGAAGATAAGAAGCCGCGAACAATTTTGACCCGATGGGCTGATTTTAGTAAAACTTTTACCTCTCTGTCTCGTTGTTGGGATAGTACTTTGCTATTGGTGATACAGCATGACTCAGGACAACATAGGCATAATCAAAGGCCTGTTTCACCTGCATGGCCCCATACGAACTCCTTCCAACATCATTACCTTCAAAAGAAATACATACATAACACAGTAAAATTTACAGAGGCTTAACATGAACTAAAAGTTCACGAGCCCTCTTCTGGGAGGGCGAGGGCAATCGCTGTCCTCAGAATACGAGCTGCTAGCTGGCCCCACAGCTCCCCCAGCTCTGAACATGTAGATCAGGCGTAAATACGTCATTGTGGCATATAAACCACCTAAGTGTCTTCTGGCCCAACAGGAACTATCCCTCACACCGTCATGAGAATAAAAGAAGCAACTGCCCATTTTCTCCTAAAAGTGAAGCAAAACTAAATTAGAAATACCTATTTTTTTGCTTGTTAGCTTTATAAACATCTCCTGCACTAAATAATGAGCTCCTAAAAAGCAAGGACCATCTTACTGAAAAAATCCTTTGTGTCCTTTATGTAGAGTTGGCTTTCAAAGAACATTTACTCAATGAATAAACTATTCCTGTTTATAAGATGGTTCATTCCGCCAGAAAAGGGCTCTGAGGAAACTGTTCTTTTAACTTCTTTTCCTTACTTACTTTCAAAGTCAATATGTGCAAGCATGCTAAGTCCCTTCAGTCACGTCTGACTCTGTGCGACCCTGTGGACTGTAACCTTTTAGGCTCCTCTGTCCACAGGATTTTCCGGGCAAGAATACTGGAGTGGGTTGTCATGCCCTCTTCCAGAGGATCTTCCTGACCCAGGGATCGAACCTGGGTCTCTTAAGTCTCCTGCATTGGCAGGTGGGTTCTTTACCACTAGCGCCACCCTGGAAGCCTATATATATATAGGCTTTTGAATATATATATATTCAAAGTCAACACATTAAAGCAAGTGACTAAAAGCATTTCTACTGACGTCCAATAATGCAGAATCTAAATGTTACAATTATACCAGGAAAAAATATTGTCCAGAAAAATTAGAATACAAGCAAGCAACACAGAGCTTCATGAAAGCAGAGGAGGAATTCATTTTCTGCTCACTTTCAAGCCAACATAAAGCTGGAAAGAGCACAGGGAGACTATACAAAATTAAAGAAGGAAGAAGGGTAAAAGAGGAAAATAAACTGTCTCTTGGTACCCTCTCTCTCATGAACTCTGAGACATAGAGTGTGTCTCAGAATCCTCACTTACAGCCCTGGCTGACAACTGGTTAGAATCAGGAGCAGTGAGGACTCAAGAAAGAACTTCTTAAAATGGCCACCAAACCAGAGATGCACAAACCCACCCAAACAGCTAATACCTGTTCTCTTTGGCCTTTAAGAGTCAAATGGATTTTACTCCCAACTCCACTCATTTGCAAGCATACATGTTTTTCTGGTGTGTGTGTTTATGTGCACGTGTTTGCTCATAAAATATTTTGAGGAAACACAATTACAAGTTAATTCTTAATTTTTCATCTGAAGAGAGTTTAAAGTACAATATGATGACTAGGCCTTTTTTTGACTGAGTTGGGTGGCTTGCAGGATCTCTGTTCCCCAACCAGAGACTGAACCCGGGCCCTCGGCAGTGAAAGCTCTAAGTCTTAACCACTGGACCACCAGGGAATTCCCAATGCCCTTTCTTGATATCCATAAATTTACCTAAATTCAATACCTGGTTGTAAAGGATCTTCGATATAAAGCATGGATGGCCTGTAGCCATCTAGCATATTTTTCTGTACTTCATCTTTGGCCACATAGGAACCACCATCCTTTATCCGGATGCCAGTCTTTAAATAATTGAAGTGTCGTCCATATAATTCAAAAAATTCTATTAAGAGAACACCATAGTTTGTATTGGGGATGCAAGCATCTTCCCTGGGATGTAACTAAAATGAGAAGAAAAAAAAAAATTACATTGGATTTTCTCTGAATTCAAGGTGAGGATAGTAAATGACATTCTAACTTCTATAAACAATATTATAATAATTTTGGTTTCACAGAGCAGCCAACAGATAACAGAGTTACAGCAGACTAATTGTAACAGTACTTCTGTTACAGATGACCGAAAGCCCCATGGGCGCGGGTGGAACCCACGGGTGTGGGGGATAATTTACGAGGCTGGATTTCACAGCTGCCCAGGATGTTGAGAGCCGGCTTGGCCCAACATCAAGGAAGTCATTCTGACTCACCAGCAGAGTCAGGCAGTTGGCAACACTGCTGTACCACATGAATACGTTCACTGACGGTATTAAGACTTCTAACACATCTTACCCAGACAGCGAGTCTCAACTGAGTTGAGACTCAATTGTAAGTCTCCACTTAGAATAGTAACTGCTTAGAAAGATTCTTGTTTTTGGCATTTATGTTACTATGAATACCTATGGAAACGGCACCATACTTTTGTATGTCAAAATTTGTAGTGATAAGTCTCAAAAATATTAGAACACATGAGATTAAAAAAATGCTTCCCTTGGGATTTTAAAATATTTAATTGCTAAATTATAAAAAAGGTACCCGGTTTAAAGGGAAACGTTGTAAGTAATAAAGGGAAGTATTCTAATTAGAGCTTGATTAAAATTTTTTTTCCAAAATGATTCCCAACTGATTTATTTAACAAAAAATGTTTAGTGTACAATAGCAGGGTATAACTTACTTACCTGAAGGAAACTTACTGCCATTAAAAAGAGACTATAAGAACCAATTCCACCCGTAAATACTTCATTAAGGTCCCTCTGTAATAAGAACTGTTTCAATACTAAAACCAAGTATGGCAATACAGGATATTTCTGGAAAAGAAAATTATATTTTCAATAAATTCCTACATCAGTAACAGCTGGAAGCATTAATAGCACAAATGGTCTCTCAGTGTAAACTGGTCCTTACATTACAAACTTGGTGGAGATATGTTATATACTTGTGCACTTTAAAAACAAACGATAAAAAAGTAAGGTCTGAGTAACTGAGGATTGTGTCCTCACATCTAAAACCCCAAACAGAGAGAGCACCCCAGCATTCACTACGGGACAGAACCCTAGCGATACCTATCGCGTGACACTCATTTTACGATTTACTGAACAATTCTCAACTGTAAATAGATAACAGAAACGGTACGGGGTGACGTCTCAGCTCCCAAAGCAGTCAATCCCGGAGTTTTAAAGAATCACTTCTGTAAGCAGAACTGCACAGGCAGACCAGGCCCTTCAGGTGATCCTGCACAGCCCAGAGCAGGACTCACCCTGCCTGCTGTCCTCGGCCCGGGCAGGTCAGCACACAGCCCCACCGTCCGTGCCTCACAAGGAAGGGTGAGGACACCCATGGGGGCAGAGGAGGACCGCCTGAGTCCGCCTCTCACGCAAGCTCGTTCTCATTAAGCCCTCTCCACAAGCCGGGCCCTGAGATAGGGACGCTGAGAACAAAGCAGACGCCCAGAGAGAAAGGAGCCTTGACAGCCGCTGCCTGAGGACGGCAGAGTCACTCGGGATCGCCGCTCTCTCCCTGACACTAACAGTGCACACGCACGGCTCCCATAAGGAAAAGAAGCGCTTGTACTTTAGCAAGTCATGTCAAAGCGAGCGAGCGTGAGGAAACAACAGAAATACGGAGACATAATCATTTTCAAACACTATGATTGAACTCAGAAATAGTCTAAAGAACAATCACACAAACTGCCAACAGAATTTTCTCTGCATGTATCCTCTGCCCCAGAAACTCCACTTCCAGGAGTTGTCTTACAATTTATTAGTGCAAAGGAAGATGCAGACATGGAAGGATGTTCACCCAGCACTTTTTGCAAGAGCAGAAGACACTGGGAGCAACCCTGGGCAAGAGCCGCCTGCACAAGGGACGATCCATCCCGACAAGGGCGGTCAATGAGAAGACTGAAGAAACTCGACTGTGCTGACACACAGGAAGCCTCCCCAATAATCAGTTAAAAAAAAAAAGTACAACATCATATATATGGTGTGCTATTTCTTTTGTGAAAAATCTTAAGAGGAGGATAAACAAAAAAAGAAGTTGATGAAGGCAAATCCTATGTAGCTGATCTAAGCATACAAGGTTAAAGGGTGACTCAGTTTTTCCTATCCTTTTATAATGGTAAGGTGTTGTTTTTTTTTTTTATCATTATTCTTCTCAATTTTTAAAAAAGTTTCTTTTCTGGTAAAAAGAAAATTTACACACACCCAGTATCTCCAAAAGAATGGGATTACGGATAATATTTCTTTTCTTTTTCTGCACATTTACATAAGAATATAATGTTTATCACATGAGAGTTATAATTTTCTCTTACATAAAAAGAAAACGGTGAATTCGAAGAACTGCTAAAGAAAAAAAAAATCAAATGGAGAGAAAAGATATTTTATTTAAGCCAAAGCAGTGCAGAGTTTTAGTTTAGGGAGAAAAAAGCCAATGCGTCCAGCTGAAGACAGTGTTGATAAATTGTGCACTCTCTGGGAATAAAACAGATCAAGCAGAAAATAAACCACTCCAGGATAAGGGAAGGACACCTGCAGGACCTACCTTGCAGGTGACTCGGGGATTAAGACCTAGAAAAGGCTTGCTAGAGAGCGTCTTAATCTGGACCCTCGTGAGACTGGAAACACACAGGAAATCAACTGCGTGGCATGACTCAGCCCCAATCTCCCTAAGAGGAAGGATCTAGGGCAGAGAAGTTCTTCAAAGGCTTCCTCAACCCTTAATTCTTACCTGAGGCCACACTATAAATTATTGATTATAACGAGCAGATTCAAGGAAAGTAAAAACCACTGCACAGAAAAGAATCATTTGTCAGCAATACACATATAAAAATAGTTTAGCCAAGTATACCAGAACACCACAACAGAGTTTCAAAACATAACTCCATTTTCTAATAGCTTCATTGAATAAACACTATAGATTCTCTAACCTTGGTAAAATCTTTGATGAGGTCAGCTGCTCTCACGCCATTCTGTACATTAAAGCTGATATCAACTTTCACTTCGGTAAAAGAATCTGTTAATTTAATAATAGGTACCTAGAAAGAAAAGAAAGGTAAGACTTAAATACTTCAAACAAGTTAAATGACAAATCAGAGGATGGAAGGTTACCAGAGCTGAGATCCTGATCTTCTCAGGAAGACTTTAAACACTGAGTATTCTGAACACTCCAAACCAGAGCTGACTTAGCCGCCTAGATATCTTACATTGCATATTTAGCATTTAAACTCATGCAGTTTATTTTGAAATTTCTACTGATTGAGGGTTTTGAAACAAAATAACGAAAACTTTTCCTGACATGAATCTACTTTGGAGAACAGTTTCCAACACAAGAAGATCAAGAATTATGAATGTCGGCCCACAGCACCAAACTGTTTCCAATAAGAAAACTGCTAGATTCTTAAGTCACATACACAGTGAGCCACTGGCATTTTTGGTCAGTTTTGCATATAGCCCAAAAAACAACCTGACAAGAGAACTTAAAATGTAATAATTATTCTCAAATGAAGAATGATAGAATGGTTTATATGAAGTATCAGGAATTCTTTTAAAAAAAAGAAAAAAGCTCTTCTTCTACCATGCATTAGAAAACTCAGACCAGCATATGATGTACAGAACTAGATTTCCAAATTAATAGTTTTTAATGAAGAAACTACACATTTTGCTCTAATAAAACCTGACATGCAAATATCCAAACTTCAAAAATAGATATATTTATTTTTAAAATGAGCTTCCATGAAAATTCTTAATGTTCACTCCATTAGTTAAAATGATCTATAAAATTTCAATTAATACAATTCTTCAAAGATACAAAATATGATAGAAGAATATCTGTGTAACTAAAGCTTTATTAGATATCCATATCTTTACTTACACTTTTTGTATTAAAAAGTCTCTACAGTATTATATGATTAAAATCGAGTAAAATTTTTGAAAGAAATGGATAACCAGAATAATTCACCTCACAATTGCAACTTTTTATGTGCAAGCACTGGGATCATGAGCAGAAGGAATCATTCAGTCACAATCCAACTGTGTGCACCAAAATTAAAATTTAATTTAACACGTTCCATGCGTAAGTAACTGGAGAGTTTAAGATGAAATGCTAAAGAACTTACAGTTGCTTTGTCTAGAACTTTCACCGAATCTTCATCTGCAACCTTATGCTTCCGAAGAGCTTCCTCCAGGGTCCAGAGGGGTAGATTTTCCCACTTCCCAAATACCACAAGATCAATGTCACTGAACACAGAGCATACACAGGAGTTGTTGAAAGAAGCAAGAAACTATACTTGCTTTCTCATTCAAGCTACAGTTAACAAGTTACTAACAGTACGATGAAAACTTTTTTTTTTAATTTTTTTTTTTATCACAACCATAGTGTATTTTTTTTTTTTTTTTTTTTAGTACGATGAAAACTTATTTCTCACTCTCGAACTGCCCAATGAAGACTAAATGTCTCAGTGAGGACTGTCAGAGAAGTGGAGGCTGGTGATTTTAACAACCTCCTACTTCTCCTAGTCATTTCATGGGTGATTCTGAATGAAGTAAACCCTCAAAAACACCAGGTAATGTTTCCTGTTCATAAAGGCTTCTGGTACTAAAAACCTTAAGACCTTCCAAGTGAAAGAGACTAACTGATTAATCATGACTTACATTATCAAGTATAAAAGCAAGATGCAGGCATACTAGTATATCTAGTATGCTACCATGTGCATAAGAAAGGAAGAAACACACATTTCCTTTTATATATACAGAATCTCTCTGGAAGGATATGCAAGGAGCTGGTAATAGCAGCTCCTCCAAGCAGAGAAACTGGGGTGGGGGTGGGGGGGCCCGGGGAGAGGTGGGATTCAGACTTTTCATTGTCATTAATTTTGTTCCCTTTTCAAATCTGAACTAGGTTATCATAAAAATTAAATTTTTAGAAAGAATGACTCAGGCTTTGCAGATGCTCAGAACCTAAATAAGGAAAAAATACTAATGAACTCAAAGTTGAATATTTCATAGCTTTGTAGGCCTAGGACAACAATGGGAAGAATGAAAACTGCCAGGATGCATCCACTTTAACACATTTTAAGTTGGGGTAAAGTAGATCAAATCAAACGGAAAACATGATGGATGCCTATGGTTAATCATACCATACTGGGTACTTAAACATGTGTTACAGGGTAAATCTCACATTGAGTGCTCTTACCACAATAAAAACAAATGCATGATGAAATGTTTTTGCTTCCTGAAGACCATAGCAGTTTAATTGTTGGGAGAACAGGTACTTGATCCTCAATAAAGTCTTACCATTCCCTCAAAGCAGCCCCAACACACATACCCCACTCTTGCCCCCAGCTGTGGGCCAAGACAGCCCTCATTTGAGAAGATTAAAATAAACAAGGGGCCTGAAAAGATCAAGACTTTTCAGAGAAGAGTCTATACCCTAAACTTTTGAGTCAGAATATGGTGACAGGAGCTAACAGTATGAGCTCTTAATAAAAAATGAGAGGCCTGGCATTCCTGAGTGTACGGACCTCTAGAACATAACCAGGTCTTTTACCCTAAAATTACATTAACATCTGTGTTAGTGGGTTACGTTACAGGCTTGAACAGTTCTCTGTAGTGACACTCTATTTCAAGGTAACTCAAATAAAATACAAGTAAGATTTCATAAATCTGTTTTGTTTCTATTCTTACATATTTAACAGTCAAAACAAAGAAATTCTAGAAAAATGCGCAATTCCTTGAAAGCTTCATAAATGTACTAACCTTGTAGGTAAATACAAGCCAGTTTTAAAACTTCCAAATATCTGGACCTGAAATAGAAAAAATTATATTAAAATATGAGCTATGACAAACCTAGACAGTATATTAAAAAGCAGAGACATCACTTTGCAGACAAAGGTCCATACAGTCAAAGCTACAGTTTTTCCAGTAATCGTGTACAGATGTGAGTGCTGGACCATAAAGACAGCTGAGCACCGAAGAATTGAAGCTTTTGAATTGTGGTGCTGGAGAAGACTCTTGAGAGACCCCTGGACGGCAAGGAAATCAAACCAGTTAATCCTAAAGGAAATCAACCCTGAATATTCACTGGAAGGACTAATACTGAAGCTGAAGCTCCAACACTTTGGCCACCGGATGCAGGAGCCAACTCACTAGAAAAGACTCTGATGCTGGGAAAGACTGAGGGCAAGAGGAGAAGGGGGTGACAGAGGATGAGATGGTTGGATGGCATCACCAACTCAATGGATATGAATTTGAGAAAACTCCAGGAGATAGTGAAGGACAGGGAGGCCTGGCTTGCTGCAGTTCATGGGGGTTGCAGAGAGTGGGACATGACTTACCAACTGAACAGCAAAAAATATCAGATGAAAGGCCAAACCATGGAGAACGGCAGGACTTTGGCACCCTCTACTGGTAATTTTTAGTACTGCAAGAGCATTTTTTTCCTACCACCACGCTTTCGTGGAAGCAGGATTCCACGTCTCATAGAAAGTAGTATTAAGTAGCACTACTGAAAGTTAGTTTAAACTTCTCTAAACTAGTTTAAACAAAGGGACTTAATCACAGCCTCATGTTCTAAAATCGCCCTCGTCCGGAGGGGGACTGATTCAGATCAGAGTGTCTCAACTTCAGCATTGCATCTGGGGCAGCTAGGTCCTTGGTGTGAAGAGCTGTCCTGTGCATCACGTGATGTTTAGCGACTTCCTCGGCCTCTGCCCAGTGTGCGCCGGGGACACCCACCAGTCACGAAGGTCAAAGATGGCTCTGACACTGCCAAAAGCCTCCTGGGGAGAAACTCGTCCGCAGCTGAAAGCCACCAATCTAGGTCACGGAGGAGAAACAACGTGGCACACAGCAGCTGCTCCATAAAACATTAGCGTCCGTCCCCCTTCCCTGTGGGGCGTCCAGGTGGCTCGATGGTAAAGAATCCACCTGCCAACGCAGGAGACGCAGGTTCGACCCCTGGGTCAGGAGGATCCCCTGGAGGAGGAGATGGCAACCCACTCCAGTATTCTTGCCTGGAGACTCCCATGGACAGAGGAGCCTGGTGGGCTACAGTCCATGGCATCGCAGAGTCTGACACGACTGAGCGAGCTCGCATGCATTCTTCCCTGTACCTCCAATATCTTATTTGAAGCTTCTCTGTTGTGCCAATTGGATCAAAAAAGCTTCCCTGGATTTGCTCTTGCCACCCCATGAGACAATCTAAAGAAAAGTTACATAATACAAAGGAAGGCATTCCAATAAATCATTTCTTTGAATGAACAAAACTGTAGAATAGACCCTCGAAGGAGCCCTCCAAGGTGACCATCAATAGTAAGAACCACAAACAAGCAGAGGAAATTTTGGGCAAAAGTTCTGTTCACTGGGTGGGGGATATACTGAGAGACAAGCAGTGATAAGAAAAAGAGAAGGAAACAGCAGTTTCAGGAGAGTAGAGTGCACGCCTACATTAGACTATGAAAATGAACTTCAAATGACACAATAAATTTCTACCTGACATCTTCATTCAGCTATAAACAATTATGCAATGTTCATACTGACAGGTTGGAACAAAATAGTAACAGAGTTTTGATACATCACATCCAAATAACCCACTGCTATCAACACAAAGAGGCTTGATGTATCTTTCTTCTCTTTATACTAATGACTCCTAAATATAGTTTGCCTTTAGCAGTACCGCAAAGTAGTCTTAAGTAAGTCATTCAACTCAATGCAAATAATTAGGAAGCCCAAAATTTTATCTAAAGGCTGGAGAAAATGGTTTGTTTTTGAAATTGCATTAGACCACAACTCTACAGATGCACATACACAGGGATACTACCTAAGCACCCAGACAGGTACTCACGTCAGCACTGGGCCAGAGCTCCTTAATCACACTCTCAATCCTGTTCACCACCTCCATCCGCATCTTCTCCTCCTCTGGTCTTGGAGACATATATTCATAAAAATCACTGATTTCTTCATGCAGACTGAAGAAAAAAAGCAGAGACGTTAATATGAACAAGGCCAATCTAATGAGAAATCACTATTTTAAATAATCTTACCCAATTAAGTCTTAAACTCATCTGCAGGTTTTACATTCATAGATTTCTCACCTTAATTTTAATGTTATAATTCACACTAAGCTAAAATGGGAATGCACAAAATTTAATCAAAATGCAAAAGTAATTAAAAACGAGAAATTTCAAATTCCAAGAAGTCTTACTGGAAGTGTACTAGTAGCTCACAGCATTTATTATCTGCCTGTGCAGAATACCTGCTGAGTGCTGGGGATTTCAAAATTTCTTAAATTTCAAGTGAAGGCCTTTATACTCTGCCTTTACACTTCTGATCCAGTAGATATAAACACAAGAAGACACAGACAAGCTTCCGGCCAGTGGGGGTGACCCTCTTCCCCCTCTGAAATCCATTCCTCACAGGAGCAAAAAAGCGTGTCTTTCATGATGTTTGCTTAGTGAATTAAGTGTCAAATGAACAGGTCAGCCAGGGAGTATCGACAAAGACCTAAAAAGAATGGCTGGCAGACAAGGCTCCATAAAGGCGCTAAAAAGACTTGCAGAGACGGAGAGGCACAAGGCGCCCCTCAGGGAGCAGCGAGCAGAGGGCACAGCCGGCGGCACAGGGAGGAGAGGAGGGAGGGGCAGGTCCTGAGAGGGAGGCAGAACCGGACGACCGCGGGCTCTGCGCGACCCGCTGCAAGTTCAGGCCTTCCCGGATGTTTCTGAAAGGGACCAGGGAAAGACTGACTTCAAAAATGGAGCATTTTAAGATTCATCTGGCAATGGTGCAAACAATGGGCTGGCAAAGAGACAAGGCTGGATGCAGAAAGAATGGCTCATAAATTACTGCAAGTGTAGAAGGACTGGATGGACGTCTGGAGGACGGCGGCAGGAAAGAAATGGGCTCAGAAATGCCACACACACACACACACACACACACACAAACACACACACATACACACACAAACACACACACACATACACACACACAAACACACACACACATACACACACACAAACACACACACACACACACACACACAGTGGTTGGGCCACAGGACAGGACCAGCGCGCGCGCGCACACACACACACACACACAGTGGTTGGGCCACAGGACAGGACCAGCGTGCGCACACACACACACAGTGGTTGGGCCACAGGACAGGACCAGCGCGCGCGCGCACACACACACACACACACACACAGTGGTTGGGCCACAGGACAGGACCAGCGCGCACACACACACACACACACACACACAGTGGTTGGGCCACAGGACAGGACCAGCGCGCGCGCACACACACACACACACAGTGGTTGGGCCACAGGACAGGACCAGCGCGCGCGCGCACACACACACACACACACACAGTGGTTGGGCCACAGGACAGGACCAGCGCGCGCGCACACACACACACACACACACACAGTGGTTGGGCCACAGGACAGGACCAGCGTGCGCACACACACACACACAGTGGTTGGGCCACAGGACAGGACCAGCACGCGCACACACACACACACACACACACACACAGTGGTTGGGCCACAGGACAGGACCAGCGCGCACACACACACACACACACACACACAGTGGTTGGGCCACAGGACAGGACCAGCGCGCGCGCGCACACACACACACACACACACACAGTGGTTGGGCCACAGGACAGGACCAGCGCGCGCGCACACACACACACACACACACAGTGGTTGGGCCACAGGACAGGACCAGCGTGCGCACACACACACACAGTGGTTGGGCCACAGGACAGGACCAGCGCGCGCACACACACACACACACACACACACAGTGGTCGGGCCACAGGACAGGACCAGCAATGGAAAGAGAAGAGTGAGGATGCCTGTGAGGGCTGAGGTCTAAGGAGCTGTGGGAACGGGTGAACAAGATTAAAGGAAACACTAAGAAGGCTGGCTAAGGAGCTGCATGCAGTTAATTAATACAGAAGAAAATGAAGAATCACAACAGAAGAAAATGAAGATAGTATTCCTTAACAAGGTGGTGCAGCTGTGAAGAGCTACCTTTAGGTATTGGTCACTCAGTCCTGTCCAACTCTTTGTGACCCCAAGGACTGTAGCCCACCAGGCTCCTCTGTCCATGGGATTCTCCAGGCAAGAATACTGGAGTGGGTTGCCATGCCCTTCTCCAGGGGATCTTCCCAACCCAGGGATTGAACCTAGGTCTCCCGAATTGCAGGCAGATTCTTCACCTTCTGAGTCACCAAGGGTTTCCCTGAGTATGAAATGGGAGGAAACCTGCAAAACCTGGGCTGGATGCAGACAAGCCGGGAGGCCCGGCCCCAGGTCGCTGGAGGTGACACAGCAGACTGAGGATGCTCTGGCGGCTATCTCAGTACAGCACATCTGCGATGAGCCAGGAAGCCAGGAGAAGGGCACTAGTTAAACAGCAATGGGTGCCAAGCACTGGAGGGGAGCCGGTGTTGTGGGGGGGGGCGGGGGGCGGGTGGCAGTGGGAGGCAGGGCAGACTCAAAGTAACAAAATCTAGAAGGAGGGGTATGCCTGTAGCTGCAAGCCCATTCAGGTCCAGAGCAGGTTCAGGATCCCCAGGAAGCCAGAAACACCAGGAGACCCAAAATGGTTACAAGGAAAGGAAAGAAGGCCAAATCTCAACACCCACTGGCTGTTAACAGAATGCGGCAGAGTAAACTTTAATCAATAGTTTCTGCTTCTTCTGATGTTTTCTTTTCAGACAGAGTCAAAACACTTGAGTTCCATACTCAGGCTCTGCCTGAGGGCAGCTCTGTTCCCTTTCTGGCCTCAGAGTTCTCAGGCACAACCTAGGGAGCAGCAGCCAGAAGCCTTTTCAGACCCGTGGTTTTCAAAAGCTGGGCCATTTGGTAAGGAATGACTGACAGCGGCGTTCTGCTTGTTCACTGTGCAATACCACAGGAAAACTGGATTTTAAAACTCCAGGGAGCTCTGCCCCTAAACCCAGAGACTCCCAGTGGAGTCAAGTCTTCCTTGACATAACTAGGTGCCTTCCAGGTACCCTAGTATCTTCTGACTTTTTTTTTTAAGCTTCTCAGCTTTTAATATATTCTCTAAGGTCACCCCCTTTGTTTTCTGATAGACAACAGCTAAAATGACAAGCCATTAGATGGTTTATGGCTTGCTTTACTCTTCTGCACTTCTGGTGGCGATGAGAACCATAAATAAACAACCAAACAATGGGCTTCTTAGATAATTTGCTAACTAGATCATTTGCTATGAATTATCAGAGTGTATTTGTGGTTTGAAAGCATATCACTGTAGAATACTTCCATTGTAACCAATGGGGAAAACCTCCTAAATTTGACTGTTAGCTACTCTACAAAGGCCCACTTACACATTTTTTTTAAAAACATTCTGAGCTCAGATCAAGTGTAGAAACCTTCATAGTTATAAAGGTCTGTAGTAAAAACTTTTCATCATTGCTCAGAACGGATCAGCTTTTCCTATACACACACTCCCAGCCAGCTCTCACCCACCCATCAGTTAAGTCCTCAGTTATCTACTGTCACTTTCACAAATATGCATGTGTGCCCGTGCGCGCGCGCACACACACACACACACACACACACACACACACACCCTTTATTTTAAATTACCCTTTGCTTCTCAGAACTAGAAAGATCATGCATCAGGTAGACTAAGGGGTCTTTCCTGATGCTCAGATTAGGCTATTTTCATCATTGATCCACTTCAGGAAGAGCAGATCTCAGAGAAACTTAACACATTTTATAATTCAAATAATAGGCAAACAGTGTTTAGCCCAAACTCTAGTGAATCTTTAAATCATATGAAACTAAGTAAGAACTCATCCTCAAAACACTACTGAGTATCTATGTTCAAGGTACTACAAGGAAAAAAGCTAGTCACACATGATCCTTGCCCTGGGTGGTGTCCCTCTAATGAAGAAAACAAATATTCATGATGTGAAGTAGTTCTGTGTATGCATATATCCCACACCACTTCCCCACAGGCAGGGCGCAGACGAACAGGACTGCTTTCCTATGACAGCTTCAGCAAATGCAAAGTCACCCTGCAGGGCAGTGAGGTCCTCGTCAAGTCACCTTCAGATAACCACAAAGCAAAAAGAGGTTGTGTGAGGGATTTCTGAACTCGGCATTATTACAAGGCGGAGAAGATTCAGAACTCCTGTTTATCACTAGGCCGTCAACTTTCTAATTAGCACACATTAATTTGGAGGAAAGGTATGATAGTTTTACGTGACAAATCCTTAAAACAAGATTACCCTACCACACTTTCAACGGCTAAGTTAAAGAGCTCTCTTGGTAATTGTCACACTGCACTTGAAAACATGTGGGTTATTTTCAAATATCTTTGGATACTGATTTCTAACATAATTCCACAGTGATAAGAGAACAGACTCTGATTTCAATACCTCAGACAGACCATGAAATTTTTGCACATTTCTTATGACCCTGGATATGTTCCAGTGTCTCCAGATTTATAGTCCATGGGAATTTGAATAGAATTTGTGTCCTGCTGTTGTGTGAAAATTGTATAAATCTTAATTATATTGAATTGGTTCATAGTGCTTTTCAGGTGTACTATATCCTTCTACTTTTCTGTTTATTCATTCTAATACACTGGGGGAGCTTGATATTGACATGCCAACTAAAATGTTTATCTACTTTTAAAAATAATTGTAATATATAGTGGAACTATATGTAACTTTTCCCTGTATTTTCCAAGTCTCCTGTAAATGTTTTATCATACTTTCATAATTAAAAAAATAATTATTGGGGCGGGGGGGGGGGGAGACTACCCTACCACAGTTTGCTGACGCATTCTCCTACTAAAAGACAGCTGGTATGTTTGCAGTTGACAGTCACTAACAATAAAGCTGTTATGGAAGGGAAAAATACCCTAAATTTTAATAACCCATAGAACCATCTTCCTATTTAGGAAAATATGATTCTAC